TATACATGATCGCTAGCTAAATTTTATCAATCATAACAGTAAAGTCACAATTTTTTTTTTTCTTTATAATATTTCAGATTTAATGGTGCAATCAAAAAACAAACCTGTAATCAGGCTTCGGATTGTGTCAACACTTGTGATACAACGTTGTTGCCTGCTTGTCTTAACCATGTATTTGTTTGTGTGCACGCGAAAAACAAGTTTACAAGACGTATGATGAAGGAAAGTAATAATAATGTTCTTCATGAATCTTCATGAATTTAATTATTTCATTGTATTATTATTGAGAGTAATAATATAGTGATCATTTTGATTTTATTATAATCACATCAATAATATCGATTTGTAGCATTTTGTTTGGATCCTTAATAATGCAAGTGTTTCAATGTCGTGATAAGCATTTCTTATTAAGATGCGTGTGGAGAGGCGATAAAATTAGTCGATGGAAATATAACTCACTCAATTCGCTCAAGTTTAAATGATTTAATGGTCCATTCATTTGTTAACTCGATGGCTCAATATAACTCATCTAAAAATTGGTTATACTGATATGTAACATAAATTGACGCATGAAACAAATCTTATTTTGTTAGAATTGGGTTATGGGCTTGAGAAAATCACTATCACTCTTGGATCTTTAGTGTTGGGCTACACTTTAAGCTCTAGCAGTATTGGGCCCAAGTTCTTCAATCTAGTTATGGCAATTTTAGAGGGATCTTAACGATTTTAGCCAGACGCTAAAAGAATTTTCACCCACTTAATTATAACTATTTGTAGCCATCATCGATGAATATTTAGTGTATATATATATATATATATATATATATATAAGAGGAGTTTACAAATAGTCACTATAATAAACTTAATTAGGCTCCTTAACTATAGTTTGTATATTTACGGGTTGTAGCTATAGCTCTTATGGACGACCTCATGGGTATGTTCGTATAATTCACGTGTATTTATATAATTGAACTATTTTCCATTCGTGAAATAAGTATTTGCATAAAAGAGCTATTCCCGTCGTGGTTGTATAAACGGAGTAGTAACAACTGTTATAAAAATTCCGCAATTATACAAATATTATAAAACTTGAAATAATAAATTTATACAAACACAAACATCTGAACTTTAAACAGTTATACAAATTAAATTATACAAAAGTTATACAAATTATATTATACAAAAGTTATACAAATTTCAAAACCAATACGTTTATACAACTCAAACTTGGCCGCGTAATTTTGCCTAGAAATTAGTGACGAATGGTGATTAATTCAAACTGTAGTTATGTTAACTTAATTAACTATTATATGTTTATTTATCCGCGTAATTTCCCCTATAAAAAATTGTATACATTGTACGATGATTAAATTGACTTAAAATTAGCAAGTCTTTGTTAGAAAAAGTAAATAATATTTTTTTAAAAAAAGTTTTCCTCGTAAATTGGAAATTAAATCAAAGATATATAATGCTCTTTTAATTAATAATTTATTTTAAATCATTAATAAATTTTAAAAAAGACATATATACATCAACATTGTCAAATCATCTTTTTTTTGGTGAAAATAACATATAAAAAATTGTTGCATTTACGTGGTTATCTATCCTTTTCTTTTTTATCTAATTTTTTTTTCACTGTAATTTGTTCACATTTTACCCACACAAGTCTCTGTTATGTTAATTTTGAACCCCACAAAATTAACCACTTTAAAGTTATCAAGAAAACAACATAACACAAGTAGTCCTCAATGTGTGGACAAAAGTAAAGTTGGTTTTTTTACTTTAATCATAAGTAATAAATAATCCTTATGTGTGCATTTATTATTGGATGGAACTCATAACATAATTTTCAAAACTAAAAATCCTTTTGGCTAGAAAATTTGGCCAGAATGGTAAAATAACATATTTCATACTATGTTATTTTACCTTTTTGAACATTTTTACCCTTTTAACTTTAATACCTTTTAACTAAAAAATGGAAAAAAGATCAGCTTATTTTAAAATAAAAAGGATATTATAGACTTTTTAAATTTCTAGTCAAATTCTGGCTAAATTTTTTGGCTATTTAGAATTGTTCTTTTAAAAAAGTTGACTTTTCTTTATTTCTTTTTTTTTTGTTTCATTTTGGTGATATCATGACTTCCGGAGAATTTTTTGCTCAACCTTTATGGAACCCTCCAAATGGGTTTCACTGCTTTTATTTTTAATTTTGTTGTTTCTTTTATCAGGTTTGGGCCTCTTTTGGGTCTTTACCATATACTTTCTATTTTTATTAATAAAACCCACTTTTGATTAAAAAAATACACCCTTCGCAGGGTGTTGGGGGAGCGGTATCTAAAGTTTCACCATTTTCAGAGTCCATTTTAGACATCTAAGGGCCTACAGGAATTAGAGGATTTTTCTTAGTTTTTCATGTGTGTTAACCCATAAATATTTTTATGATATGATTTTCGAACGATTTTTTTGCGAGTGACAACTGACTCATTAATTTCAAGGTGTGTTATGATTAATTATTAGTGATAATTCTAAACAAAAAATAGAAAATATCATATAGTTTAGATAGAAAATTCACAAAAACTGACACGGAGTGCCATTTTTAAATTAAAAAAAAGAGAGTATACATCATGCATCATCAAATTAATAAGGTAAATATATTTTGATACACAGTTAATTATAATTAAGAGAGAAACAAAAATACTAATAATTCAAATAGTAAAATGCAAAAATATAATAATTTAGATGTATTTTTTATGTTATTTATATTTTAAAATTTTGAATCTTTCTTTTGAAATTTAGTTGACCGATGTTCATATAAGAGAAAAAAATTGAACTCCATTATCTCAGGATCCTCCATTTGTGCCGTTCCCAACGGTCACATGCTGCGACTCGCTGCCCAGTCGTCGGAAATGACTGAGCGACGATCGCCGATTAACACCCTGTTGATTTTAGATCATTGAGAGAAAAATTAGAGAAGAGGAACAGTTTCTATTGAACTGCAAATATTTTGTCACACATTACACATGCACTGATGGCCTTATTTATACATTGTTTTAGCATTTAACTGACTCTAACAACTTGATGACAGCTCATCAACATATCTAACTAACTTCTACTACTTAGCAATTGCATTACATGTTTCAACGCTCCCCTTCAAGCAGGAGGATGCAAAATATCTAATACTCCTAGCTTGCTTAACAAATGAGCATGTTGTGGTCGATTAAGGCCCTTTGTAAGAAGATCAACTTCTTGCTCTTTTGTGTTGACATAAACAACTTCCACTAGTCCCTTTTTTATTTTATCACGAATGAAATGACCATCTATTTCGATGTGTTTTGTGCGGTCATGAAATATAGGATTTTGGGCAATCTGCATAGCAGATTTGTTATCACTAAAGATGCATACTGGTTGTCCAACTTCAGATCCTAACTCCTTGAATAGTCCCAGCAGCCAAGTAATCTCTGCCACTGCTGCTGCCACACTTCTGTACTCAGCCTTAGCTGAGCTTCTAGAAATTGTGGCTTGTTTCTTAGACTTCCATGAGACCAATGAATCACCAAATTTAATGACAAAACTAGTTACTGAACGTCTGGTATTGGGGCAAGCTACCCAATCAACATCACACCAATATGTGAGAGTTTGAGTTGAATCTGCCTTTAATAAAATTCCTTGTCCGGGGCCTGTTTCAAAGACCTCACTACCCTTATAGCAGCATTCCAGTTTGATACCTTGGGCTGTTGCATAAATTGACTTAAAGTCTGCACAACAAAGCTAATATATGGCCTAGTAGTTGTCACATACAATAGCCTGCCAATGAGCCTTTGATATGCAGTTACATCTCCCAGCAATTCATCACCTTTGACTCCCACTGTTGTATCATATTCATGAGTCATTAACTTCTGATTTACTTCAATAGGAGTAGTAGCTGGTCTTGCACCTCCTAGTCCCATTTCTGATATGAGTTCTAGTATATGATTCAACAAAACACCTTTTGCGGATCTGATCACTTCAATTCCTAGAAAAAACTTTAAGGAACCTAAGTCCTTCACCTTAAATTTCTGATGCATGATAGCCTTGGCTTGATCAATTAAAGCCATACTACTCCCTGTAATCAACAGATCATCTACATATACCAATATTAATACTATGTCTGACCCATGTTTCATAGTGAACAGAGAATAGTCATGGTTACTTTGAACAAATCCAGATGATATAAGAGCCTCAGTAAGTTTGAGATTCCATTGCCTTGAAGCTTGTTTAAGCCCATAAAGAGACTTTTTTAACTGCAGACTTCATTTATGTTTTCCCCTTGTCTTGAGAAACCTTGTGGCAATGACATGTATACTTCTTCATCAAGATCACCTTGAAAGAAAGCATTGTAGACATCCATTTGGAACATTTCCCAACCTTTGGAAGCAGCCAAAGCAATCACAGATCTTACTGGAGAAAAAGTATCATGATAGTCTAGGCCCTCTCTTTGGCTGTAACCTTTAGCTACAAGCCTGGCTTTGAACCTTTCAACACTGCCATCAGCTAAATATTTGATTTTATAAACCCACTTTGATCATACAGCATGTTTACCATCAGGAAGAGACACTACTTCCTAAGTTTTATTAGCTTTAAGAGATTGAATTTCTTTCTGCATGGCATCCATCCACCTAGGATCCTTGGCAACTTCCTTGAAGGTAGCAGGCTCCACCAAGGTAGAAAATTTTGCAAGAAAACTTTAATAAGAATTCGAAATAGCATTATTAGGACATGTAGATTGATAAGGGGTAGGCTGCAGAAGTTTTTGGTTTGTTTGACACATAATCTTGCATCCAGAGAGGTTGTTTCATTGTTCTTACAGACTTCCTTGTATGTACAACTAGACTAGCTGGATTAATTGTATGTGCACCTTCATTTTCAATGTCATCCCCACATGCAGGTGCATCTTGAGGGATATCAAACTCTACAACATCAATACCAGCTGAACTAGATGCATTATCCAAAGGATGCTCAGTTGAATCTGCCTCATTAGGAACCTCTCTTACAGGATTGAAATGAGAATTATCTTCCAACTGAAGATCCTCAAACTGACATGTTCCTCTATAAGTGTCAGGGACATAGTTGTGAACATCTAGGAAGGGAAAAACATGTTCTCTAAAGGAGACATCTCGACTTACAAAGAAGGTCTTATGTAGAATATCAAACAGTAAATACCCCTTTTGAGTTTCAGAAAAGCCCATCAAAATAGCAACCCTTGATCTTTCACAAAATTTGTCTCCCCTAGCAGTAGTTGTGGCAAAACATAAACAACCAATAACCCTTAAGTGTTGAATAGACATTTTCTTGCCATGAAGTAACTCACATGGAATTTCACCCCCTATAGCAGTGGAAGGCAGTCTATTAATAATATATGCAGCAGCCTGTATGCAAAGGCCCCAGTATTTGATAGGAATATGTGACTAAAATCTCAGTGCTCTAGCTGTATCTAAGATATGCCTATGTTTTCGTTCAACTACACCATTTTGTTGTGGTGTATATACACAGCTGCTTTGATGAATGATGCTAAGGTCCTGGAACAAACCATTTCATTGAGAGTTGAAAAACTATGTACCATTGTCAGTCCGAACCACTTTTACCATACTACCAAATTGATTTTTAACCATAGATAGGAAAATTTTCAAGACCACAATTACTTCAGACTTGAGTTGTAACAAGTAGGTCCATGTATATCGACTATAGTCATCCATAATAGTTAGAAAATATTGCTTGTTATCAAAAGTAGATGTCTTATAAGGACCCCATAGGTCAATGTGGACAAGAGAAAAAGATACATCAGCTCTTGAATTACTATGTGGAAACACTAGTCTAGATTGTTTGGCTAATGGGCAGACACAACACTTATTTTGCAGAAAACTAGTGTCTGCATTAGAAAGAAAACCTATCTTCTTCATGGTAGATGATGAAGTGTGTCATAACCTTCTATGCCACAGGTCAACTTCATCTTTATTCTTTGATGTTGCAACAACATGTATGCTTCTATGATTAGTATGACTCTGACTCCTTAATTGAGAATGTATAATCCATGCCTCATTCTACCAGTCCCCTTGACCCTGCCACTTGAGAGATCCTGAAAACACACATGATCAGGAAAGAAAGTAACAACACAATGTAGCTCTTTAGTCAGTTTATCTATTGACAATAGATTGAATTTGAAGTCTGGAACATGTAATACATCCCCCACAGTATCATTATCAAATAATTTTAGGCTACCAATGTGTGTATATCTGATTTATGCCCCGTAGGAAGTTGTACTTTATCTCCTAGTTTACTTACATTCCTCTAGCCTTTTTATGTCAGCTGTAACGTGGTGTGTTGCTCCTGAATCCACAATCCATTCACCTACAGCTATATTCGACATAAGGCACGCAGTCATACCTATCATGTTACCATTATAGCATCCTTGAGACTGTTGAGCATTGTTGTTGTTGGCATCATTGTTTAGCAGTCCAAGGAGTTGTTTGTATTGTTCCTCATTAAATGAAACTCCTCTTTCTCCAAGCTCATTAGTTGACTCTTCTATAGATCCTGCTGTTGGATAAGAACATTCACTACCAGTTATATTATTAACTACAGTATTACCTTTCCTCTTGTCCATTCCATCATTTGGATAGTCAATTATCTTCCAGCAATGTTCCTTTGTGTGTCCATTCTTTTTACACCAATCACACACTAACAAAGGCTTCTTTCCTTTGTAAGGTTGTCCTCTTCCAACAGCACCTTGATAGGGTTGTCCTCTACCAGTTGTTCCTTGATAAGTATGACCTCTTCCACTGCCAAAGTTCATTGCCAAAGGATCTAGCTGATTCTGATTTGTAGAGTTAGCAACAATGAATTGATCACTTTCTACCTCAATTATCATCGCATACGCCTGATTCACTGAAGGAGCAACAGTTTTAAGTAGAATTTTCCATCTGGTGTGGTCTTAGGAATCATTCAAACCAGCTAAAAATTGCAACAACCTCTGCTCCTGAAGATGTTCCACATAATCCTTCGATTTTTCACAACTACAACTTGGCACTGGTACAATCATATCATATTCATCCCACAACTCTTTCAACCTTGAATGATACATGGAAACAGAGTTCGTACCTTGAGATGTTGTTGCGATTTCTTTGTGCAACTGAAAAGTCCTCATACGATTCACGTTGTTGAATCTCTCCTTAAAGTCCTCCCACACTGCATGTGCATTCGATCCATACACGATTCCATTCAGCAAATGTTTGGAGACTGAATTCATGATCCATGAATGTACAATTGCATCACACTTGTCCCATAGATTCCTTAATTCACTCCTTTGTACTTCCCTTTTACAAACTCCATTCACGAACCCTAATTTTCCTTTTTCGAGCAACGCAATTTTCCTAGATCTGCTCCACAAATCAATAATTTTCTACTCCAATTAGCTGAGTAGGAACTAAGATTGTACCTGGAGTATACACTTGCAGGTACAGAACATGATTGTGATTAATTCCTGCCATTGGTGACTGTGTACTTGAATCTCCTTCAACCATGATTAACTCTCAATCTGTAAGATCTAGCTATTTCGTAGAAACTTTTAGAGATTTTTGGTGCAAAGCACCATCTCTGATACCATGTTGATTTTAGATCATTGAGAGAACAGAGAAGAAAAGAGAAGATAAACGATTTCTATTGAATTGAAAATATTTTGTCACACATTACACATGCACTGATGGCCTTATTTATACATTGTTTTAGCATCTAACTGACTCTAACAACTTGATGATAGCACAGCACCAGCTCAGCAACTTATCTAACTAACTTCTACTACTTAGCAATTGCATTACATGTTTCAACACACCCCTCCTGAAGAAGTAAGTACAAACATTGGCAAACCCTAACAACATAGTTCCCGAGATTCCATTAGAAATCATCAGTGAAGAAGAAATGGGCGATAATAGAAGTTGCCTTTGTAGCCACGGATCTCTGGTTACGTCATCGTTACGTGATTCTTCATCGCCGGTGCATTTCCAGAACAACGTTGGGTCGATTACTCTGATAGAGTTTATCGAGTTGTTCTTCGCAAAGTGATTCATTAGTGGTTGATTTAGAAGATTCTGGAAGGTTAATGAGTAGTCAGAAGAGGAATAGAGTTGTACTTCATTGTTGAGTCGGTATCGGAGGAAAAGAGGATTGGTTGTTACTGATATTACTGCTACAGTATGAATTTTGAAACTTTATACTCCCTATGTACCCATTTATGTGACATTTTTTTTGTGATTCTGTAAAATTGCAACTTATAATACTTTTGTAGTAGATCTAATCCAATTTAGCTTCAAATGTTAGTTAAATTGACTCTCAAGAGAAAGTGAAAACTTAAAGTGCCACATAAATTTGTCATAGGGGAAGTACAATTTGGTGTGGTTATGTTTACAAGTTGGTGTGTTTTGATGTTGTAGTTTGAAAAGCTGTGGTTTCCTGATGTTCCATTGTTTGAATGTTTAGAGGAATTTTGAATTGCATGTTGAATTGTTGCTTTGAACATGAGGGCTTATTATCATCAAATTTCCTATTTTATATTACTTTATTTGACTGATTATATTGTTTAAGATATTAATTTGACTTCCTTACTTAGAGTGGTATAGTGGACGAAAAACTTGAAGTAAAAGTGTGAAAGTTAATTTGATTGGGCTCAACTATTGAATAGCTTAATGAACTTGAATTATTGAAGTTGTGAATTATCTAGTCATCTTGGCACAAATAGATATGGTTGGACATGTTATTTGAATTGTTTCACAGACAGACTTGAGTATTGAGATGGAGCGGGCTAAAGTAAGATTACTCATCTGATTTTTTATTAAGTTCTAGTATGTAGTATGATGTTTAGTGCAAAATATGTATTTCATTATAGAATCGTGTGACATATTGTGTGAGGCTGCAAGATTTTGAATCTAGATCAGACTAATGGCGTATTATACTTCTAGCTGGTTCATTGTGCATCTACTGCAGTGAAAAGGGGATTTTGTAACATGTCCAGAATATGTTGTTGAATCGATTGACCATGTAGAAGAAATAAAAATGATGTTCTCTCTAACAACTTAAGTTTTTAGATAGGATGGTCACATAATTCACCCAGTATTAAAGTAGGAAGAGGTCTGGATTTGAGTCTAACCATCACCCATTATCAAAAGGAATTTCCAGGTGCTTCCCACAAAAAAGAAAATTAGGCCTACACGTGATAGGGCATGTTGAACACATAATTAAGTAAATGAAAGTGGTGTTTTTCTAACAACCTAAATCTTTTTAGATGAGATGGTTACACAATTCAACATACCATATGTCTCAATTTCAGTATTTCTCAGTAACAATCTGATTTTGTTGTTCTTTCGGTCACAGGAAGCATATTAGTGTTGTTGAGCATTGACCAATATGAGTTTCTGGACTTCCTCGAAATCTTGAACTTGTAGTTTTAATTTATTTTATTTGGTTTCTCTTCAATACCCTCTCATTGAGGATAAAATGTTACCCTACATAGATATAGTACTAGGGATAGAACTATTCTATATATTTTATTTGAGAGTTTGGCTAGTTAATGGAAGTACTCGCTTGAGCCTTTCTAATGTAAATGTTCCTTTTTATCATATTCTTGTGTTTTGCATTTGTTTTGTGTATATTTGCAAGCCATTGTACGAGGAGAAAGTTCCCCTAAAATATGATTTTACTGATTGTTTATCCTCATAATCGCAAGTTGCCTTCAGGAATGGTGTAAAAAAAAGATGGAGTATACTCTTCTTTGTGGCAAACCAGAAAACACCAAAGCTATGAAAGTTGGTAGCAGTCGTCATGAAGCACTCGAAGAAGAGGTATTCCCTAAAAAGAGTTTAGTCATCCATTTATTTTATATTTTAACTATCTCAGTTCGAGTGATTGAGGCAGAAGTAATTTGACAGGACATATATTTCGTATTGTTCTGTATGTCCGTTTGAAAGGAGATGAAGAGATAATATCAAGACTCATGCCAAATTCCAAAATGTTTCTATATGTTTAAACATTTCCATTTTCAAAGTGATTCTTTGAATGTGTGTAGGTGATCAAAAAGGTAAAAGTTCGTGTTGACTCAACTGAAGATGTATGGGCATTAAAGTTCTTTAATTTCATAGTTGGTACCAATCAATTGTTATTTGATGGATTGACACGTGAATTGCCCTTGTAAGTCTATTTTTCATATTTTGATTGCTCGTAATAATTCTTTAATATTCCTAATAGTAAGTTAGTTGATAACAATTGTAGTTAATGAGCTTATTTACTGTGTTTCTGTAAAACTTTTTTGTTAATCAAACAGAGGTGTTTGCATATTTAAGTGTCATGTACAAACTTTATGACCCAATAATGAAACACCTTGACCCTTTAATCTCAATTAAGAGGATGGTGGAGGTGTAAGAGTCACCACCATTTGATTCACTACTATAACTTTTCATCAACTTAAAACTTTTGATCTACCAACTAGATTAGTTTGGCTTTGTTGCAGGACCCAAAATAGAAAAATAAGTGTCTCATGTCTAACAACTTGAACTTTAGCAATCACGCAATAAAACATACTATCAGATTAAATGAAGGTTTTCAAGTCTCATTGTTATCTATTTATTAAAAATATTTTTCACGTGTTTGGGGAAAGAAAAAGAATCAAGTCTACACGTTGGGACGCATGATTGCAGGTTAAGCAAAACAAATGTGTGTTCTTTTCCAGTTGTTTTCCTGTAAAGTACATATATGTCCCCACTCATAAACACCTATTGACACTTGCGCTTGTGCATATAAGGCATTACTACATGTCCATCCAAAGTTGCTTGTGATTGAATGCATATCCTCTCACTAATCCACCTCAATCTTTACTTTTGCACATGGTAGATAGAGTTTCCTTCTTAACAAGATCACTGATTCCTGCAAAGTAGAAAGAATTTATGAAATATTTTTTTATGATTTGCCTCCTCATTAGCTGCTGAGCTAGTTCATTTGGTTCATCAGAGTAGGTTTGGGTGAAGGTATATGGATGGTGGGAGTTATTGATGAGATACGAATGCCGGAAGAACAAAGTGATGCATATCCAATATTAGTTGACATAAAAACACGAGTGCAATCTATCCTTCCTCGTGAACCACAACGGAGAAATGGAAGGTATAGTTTTGCACTGAATATTGAACAGTAAAGAAACTTTCACATGGTGCATCTCTGAGATGAAGAGAGATGCATCATATCTAAATTTCTTTACTATTATAAATATATTTACAAGTACAAAATCTAATGAATTGATGTCTTTGGATGGTAGGCTTCAGCTAATGTGCTACAAGCATTTGTGGGACAGCTTGGTGGCTGATGACTTTGCTCCGGCCAGTTCTTTGAGTTCTTCTCTCTGAATCCTAATCACATTTTATCTGCACAAGTTAGAGAAAGTATTGTTGTAATTATAGAAGGGCACCCCCTTAACTTCATCACCCCATAGCTTAGAAGTATATCAATATGATGAACATCAAATTTACAAGAATATGCAATAGCAAATAATAATTTTATCGTATGGAGCGGGGGAATGGGGAGTCGAGGTGTGGTGCTCGAGGGATGGAGGTTCTCGAGGCAAGGTGCCTCGGGGGCTGGGTCCATGAGGTGTCGTCCCTCGGGGGCTGGGGGTCCTCGAGGCGGGGTGCCTCGGGGATGGAAGAGTGGGGTCCTCAAGGAGGGATGCCTCGGGGGTAGGGGATCCTCGAGGGGGAGAGGGGTCAACGGGCGGGGTGCCTCGGGGTATGG